TAGGGAAAAAACGTATCTGCTTCATTTCTTCTCCACCTGTCTGGGGAACCAAAGTTATTTACATCGTTCTTCTCTATTTTATCCTCACGACAGCCCTGTGAGGGATGTTAGGCTGAGAAATGGTGACTGGCCCAAGGTCACCCAGCGAGCTTCCATGGCAGAGTGGGGATTCAGACCTGGGTCTCCCAGACCCTAGTCTGATTCTGTGACCCCTGCATCATGGTTGTGTCTTGCTGTGCCTCTCAGAGCAGCAGCTTGAAAAGAGTAACCAGCCCTTCTGTTTTCAGCATTAAAACCTGTAATTTGAATTACAATTTAAATTGTTATTTTAGAGTTGTTTTTAAATGTATTGTATTAAGACTGATATTAGCCACCCTGAGACCCATTAAATCAAATAAATAAACAGAATTACTTTTAGGGGCCACAACAAGAGAACCTTGCTGAAGAGAGAGAGAAGGAAGAGAGACTGTGCATTTTGTTGTTTAGATTCTGTACATGCCATTAAGGGTTTGAATACTGGCTTAGAATAATTTCCTGGTCACTTTTTAACATGTCGACTTCATTCAGAATTCTTGATAAACTGTGGTTTATAACTGCTCTTTTGTTCAGCTGTGATGTCCAAATGTAGGTAATTAAAAAAAACTGGGGTCTGTGCAGTTTGTAATCAATGTGGTTTGTTGCAATGCCTGCATTCACAAACTACAGTGTGTTGAGTAGCACTCCCTCAAAGATTCATTGCCACAGACTTAGCAGTATAGGGAGGCTACAGATAACTGAGAAGTAGACAAACCAGGGTTTATATAGAAGTTGGGGTTTGTTATTTATGTTAGTAGAAGTCACAGGCCAGAGTAAGTACCAGGACATCAATGAAATTTAAGCACACAACTGAACGATTAAATAGTATTGAGTTTGGTAAGACTTGATTTTTTGGGGGGGTGCCTATTTGTGAAACTGTGGCTACTTCTACACACAAAGTGATTTTCTGTGATAGTCTTATTGCTTGCTTGCGAAATCATCTTTACAGTGGAGATTCCAGCGCCCAGGATAAGCTGATTTCTCTGCATTTTTAGCCATGGTTTCCCTTTTGCATTTTGATATGCATTTAAAATCCCCCCCCCCCCCCAACTATGTTCTCATGTGACCGTCATGATTCTCTATGCCCACCTTATTTTAACTTTGTTTTGTTTTGTTTTGAGAAGCATGCATAGAAAGAATTCAGTATCTTTAAAAACATTTATATAAAAAAACTTCCATATATTTGTAGACACCTCTGGCAATCCCTTTAATAAAAGACAGGCTGAGCTGTGGGTAATCCCTTCTTTTTCTCTCTCTTCCTTTTTTTTTTTAAACGAAACCCATGAGCATGATTAATGCTGGACAGGAAAGAAAAAAACCACACACATATTTACAAAGACTTCAAGGGATCTCCTCCCCTCTGACTAAAAAGCAGGCGATTCTCTTCTGTTATGCTAATTTCTGCTAGGGACTGGCTCCTTGCATCTTCAGTGAAGGGAACAGAGTAACTGACTCACCTTTCCTGAAGTCCTTCAGTTACACTGCTTCTGCTGATAGCATTCAGCTGAGGAAATAATTAAGTTACTTTTTAAAACAAATTTACAGTAAAGCAGTTTTTTTTATGTGGAAGGAATGGGCTGCCATAACTATCTCTGTGCAAATATAGGACAATGTCATGTGGAAACATGAAAAAAGCGCTGGTTGGGTGGCAGAAATGCTGGAAATCCTTGGTAGGAAAGCGGCCCAGGAATACATCAAGTGTGTTTTCTTTCATAAATTTTAGCATAACAAGGAGGGGAAATTTCTTGAATACCACTTTGACACTCTGGCACAAACTTCCGTGTTAGGCAACAGCTGCACACCTTTGAATTCAAAATAGTTCTCTGCCAAAAAGCAAGTTTGAGAGTATTTCTTTTAGAACTGAAATTTATTTTCTTATGAGTGCAGATTTTTTAAACATAGATTGAATGGATTGAATGGTGCAGTTGTGACCTGTTCCTGACCCTGCCACCTTCTAAACAAATCTACTTGGAAATAAGTTTTGATTTCTTTAGAGCCTGTATCCACGTAATACGCTTAGGATCATTGTCAAGAACTTTTCAGAATTGGGAAACTCAGGTTGAAATCCACACTGCATGGAAGCTCAGTGGGTGACTTAGGGGCAATGACCCACTTTCAGCCTAACCTACCTCATGGGGTTGTTGTGAGGCTAAAGTGGAAGAGACTGATGTAAGCCGCTTTGGATGCCCAATAGAGAGGAACATGGGGTATAAAGAAAGTAAAAATACAATACAATATTGCAATATTACCTGTAATGTCTTTAAATAAAAATTCAATTAAACTATTTCAAACAGGCTTACATACACATAGCCACTCAGGGTCAGTGTCTAGGTGCTAAGTACTGTATTGAGCAAGTGATCTCCATGGAAATTTGTTATTAATGTACATAATACTTCCATGCCAACAAGGAAGACTGATTTCTCTGGACCCATTTCAGTCAGGCTTCATGCAAGGATTTGGAGCAGAGACTGCTTTGGTCCTCTTGCATGATGAGCTCTATTGAGAAGTAGACAGTGGCAGTGGCTAATTTTTTAGTTGATGTGATAAGAGTGAAAAATTTGGGAAACTCCGTTTCATGATTTTATAACTATTCCAGTTTTTTAGTTGACTGTGTCACTTTCTGTTTCTGATTTTAATGTTGTATATGCTATTAAAGGTTTATTGATTGACAGGGGGAGTGTGCTAGATCTCTCAGTGGCCTTTGATACTACCAAACATAATATCTTACTGAGCTGTCTCTCAGCACTGGGACTAAGGCACACTGTGTTGCATTGGTTCAAGTCCTATCTGGGGGGCGGGCTCAGAGAGTAGTGTTAGGGGATTCCTGTTCTGCCATATGTCCATTCTGCAGGGTTCGATCTTATCCCCCTTGCTATTTAATATCTATATGAAGCTGCTGGGAGAGATCATCAGGTGGTATGTTATGTGCAGTCACCAGTATGCGGATGTATCTGGGGTTGCAGCCCCAGCTGTTGGCTCCGGAGCCTC